AGTGGCTAATGGAAATAATGATACGTATCTAGATGTTCAATTTTGATGAGTCAAACAGGGAATAAGATCAATTCAAAATGCAACTGTCTCTTAACTATCTGTAAAATCAACTCATCAACTTGTGCTATAAGGTTTCTTTATTACACATTTGATGCCGATCGCCATTGTTGCTTTTGTTATATCCAAGGTGCTCTTGAAATACCTAAATAAACTATGGATAACTGAAGTTATCAATCATATAAAAGTAATTTGTTTTTGAGTATGGGGTGTATTGATTTTCATTACTATGTAAATTGATTTACTTCAAATCTTATGAATTAAAGCAGAAAATAAGATAAACTAGATACGATCTCGTTGTGAGCAACGAGTGGGTCTTCCGTCCGATTCTTGATAAGCTGAGATGTGATGAGATTTTGTTTGAGATTATAATTCTAAAATAATGATTTTCTATAATCTGTAAAAAGACATCAAACATTAAAGACAGAAGAAAATCGGCTTTTGGCCCTTCACGGCTCCTCATTTTAGGAATCAGAATTTTTTATTCATATCATAGCTCTATCAAAGCTCTACGGATTTTGATCACTTTTTGTTCAACAACTATTCAGAGATTCTTTTTCATTTCATTATTTGCATAAGAAATATTTAGGGGCCAACCCTTCAATTCTTTAATGGAGACGTTTAGCGATAAATGAAAGGTTGTATATTGTTCTTAACATGATTTTGAACATCTTTTGTTCAATATTACTTATCAAAATATTCAAAACTTTTGAGATATAAAGGGTCAAAGATTTAGCATTTTGGCCCCTTGTGACCCCTTATTATGTAACATTCGACATTAAAATCATAATATATAGCTCTAGATTGTTGAGAAAAACATATTTGCTTTATTAATGTATATCATAATATTGCTTGCTAAAGAGGTATTGATTACAGAATTTTGGCCTCTTTCGGCCCTTAATTTAAGTGTCTAGTCCCTTTTTCTGGATTTTACATTCAACCACTTATATTTTTGAACACTTTTTGTTCAATAACTATCAAGAAATTCTGTTTTGTTTTCAAGTTATTTGCAAAAGAAATATTTAGGGACCAGCCCTTCAACTCCTTAAAGGTGACGTTTAACGAAAAAACAGTGGCATATTGTTCATAATATGACTTTGAACATCTTTTGTTCAATATTACCTATCAAAATATTTCCCAGTTTTGAAATATAAAGCGTCAAAGATTTAGCATTTTGGCCCCTTGTGGTCCTTATAAATGATTTACCACGGTTTTTGCAAGTTCCAGAGGTGCTATGATTTCCCGATCAAAAATACAGTAGTAAGTTATAGTAAACTATGGTTAACTATAGTATTTAAAGATAAAATTTTAAAAATTTACTTTAATACAGTGAAAACTTGAAAATTTCATTTACTTTGGTAAATAATTTGGATCTCTGATTTACTATTGTAATAGTAAAAAATTTGGATCTCTGATTTACGATGATAAAAACTTTGAAACTTAATTTACTTTATTGAAATATTTAAACTTAAAAAATTTTTAACTTTGGTAAACTATAGTTAACTATTGTTTACTGCAGTGTTCAAAAAAATGTCAAGATATTCGATACTAAAATTTTCTTAATTTTTGGTAGTAATTTATGATAGACTATTTATTAGATATATAAAAAGACGGTTATCTACATTATTATACATTGTTAAGTTTGTAAAAAGTATTTCCTATCTTTATCTGACAGGAGAGATAAATCCCAAAATGTATATTTGAACTACACTGTTATTGCCTGTTTCTATCTTTTCGAGATATGAATATTTCGCATACCACACAGACAGGGCCAGGCTATTATTTTTTATTTTAAAAAAGTGAGTAACATTTAATACAGCTCATCGTCTTAGGTCACAAAGGTTAAATGATCTATTGATTTATCTGTCTTCTGTCTGTCAACTATTGTCTTTCGTCATAATTTATCCCTAATTATTTTATATAGTTACTATTGATCCAATTTCAGCAACTTTTTATTCATAGCTTTCATTATAGGTTTCTAGAAAAACAAATTAACATATTTAGCAAAAAAGGACATTTTTTTTCATTAATTTTTCCTGATTATGTTATACTACAATGTGTGTATTATAATTCTAACTTGTTATGGTGTGTTGGTAGGAAAAAAAAACATTTCATAGATTTAATGAGTGAGGTATTCTTAAAAATTATGTTTTTTTTTAAAAGGAGACTAGATTAACCTACGTATCAACAATGGATATTATTCTAAAACCAAAAATAACGGCCAGAAGTATGAATAATGAGCTTATATTTACAAATATCTTGTTTATTTTCATTCTGTTTTTATTTATTTTCATGATTTTTTTTGGTTGCTAAATTGTTTTTTTTTCCTTTTATATATATACATTGTCATTTTTGGCTAAGCCCCACACAGACTGTAAACAACTAAATAGGTTTACGCCAATTTAAATTTACAAATATGTGTAGAAGAAAAACAGTTGTGTAAAGTTTATGAATAGGTAACACGGTATTTAAACCAGTTAAGGTCACTTATGAAGCATTGACCTTTACGTGAAGGTCTAACACGTCGTTTTGGAACAATGAAAAGGATTTTGTTTTAGTTTACTGGTCATTGGATGATTGCAGAAGGTAAATAATCATAAGTAAAACGATATTACAATCTGAATGATACCTATTTATTTGTTATACTTTTGAATAACAATATTGATCTACTTTCGTTTTTGATTATGTGGTTTAGATTTTTTTCCCATGAAAATTAACGGTTAAGGATTGGAAAATGCTTTGAAGAAGGAAAGAAGCAAAATATATACACATACAGTCCAGGCCTTTATAAAATGAATCTATGTTTCAATCCACTGGAATTCTACACTATATATGACTATGTATTGCAAGCTTATAAAAGTGCACATGTAAATATAGCATATTCCTTTTATTTACAGCTGAGACACTGGTGCCTATGTACCCGACCAAACCTGCATCCCAACCCACTAAATGTACATGCATATCTTTTGTCAATTTGTGATTTGTCATAAATCCATTTTCTACCCCAAATCCATATTGAATTTCATTTGGAGTTTTTAAATAAGTTAATCAACATTTCACTAAATAAGTCATGCCCAATCTATCATAAAACCAACCATATGTTGTTGTTGTTATTTTTGATAAAGAAAGGGTTATCCATTCGGAGGACGGGCTGTTAACAAGCACCTTTGCATTATACAGTCATGTATCAGCAAGGTTACCCAAACGTTTATATATTTTCTACTGAAGCGGTTCTTAGACACTTGCTTAAAAGATATCTTCTGTAAATCGACAAAGAATACTATTTGATCTATTATTACCCACTATGAAAAACGGGGATATAATTTGAAGATAAGAGGGCATTTTACAAGAGGGCAGCTGTACCAACGTGTACAGTTCGGTTTGAAATACACGTAGATGTAAGCATTTGCCTGATTTTTCTTGTTTTCAATGATAGGTTATATATATTCCTATAAATAATTATCATATAATATTTATTTTTTAAACTAAATAACATATATTTATTCCAATGAATGCGCGTCTACATTTATATCGTCACTAACAAATATCCTCAAACGTTTATGACGTTCCAGGAACCTTTATTTATATGGTTATAGATATGTATTGTCTTCATAGGCGTTATATAAAGCGAAGTATATGCAATTGTAAATACTTTACGATATATATACAGTACCGATCAGACCCAACCTGACACAAAGCAGTCCCAGAGCTGTCCCAGGGACTGCTTTCTGGGACTGCTAAAGCAGTCCCGCAGCGGTCCCAGAGCAGTCCCGTAGCGGTCCCAGAGCAGTCCCAGAGCAGTCCCACAGCAGTCGCAGAGCGGTCCCAGCGGTCCCAGCGGTCCCAGAAAGCAGTCCCAGCAGTCCAAGTGGGCGGGGTTTATTAATTTAATGGGCGGGGCTAACTCAGAAATGAGATTTCCAATAAACAATGGAACTATAAAAGGCAGCTGAATTTTTTTCTGATCAGTATGCCAGGAATCCTTACAATGTGAAGGTCATTTACATGTACGAATAGTACCTGCATAGATTTGAAACAATTTGAAATAATATTTATTGAAGGAATAAAGCTTACACGCCTACATAAATTAATTACACTGAACAATTATCTTGGGTTGTTTGTGATTGATAATTGCTCCCATATTTATTTTCTATACAGAAAATTAAAATTGAATTAATTATTTTTCACCAGAATTAGTTTTAAATAGATCTTTTCATTATACATCATGGCCGATTTTTATACTATCGGGAAACTCTAAAAGGCATTTTTTAAAAAAGTATTAGGGCTTTTGAAAAATCCGATGCTAATTTAGCCAAGTAATATTTTTCAGTATTGATTCTTCTTTACTGACATGTTAATTTAAAAATTATTGTTTTATTTGTAAATTATATTAGTGACCAGTATAGAATCCTAAGATTATGTTCAACATTAATTAATCTTGAAAGAAATTTATACACATTTCATTTATCTTTTTTATGTTTTACATTTTAACATAGATTGAAATTAGGGTCATTGTTTATTGAGCAGCATGTTCAATGATGTGTAACACTGATACGTGAACCCAAATAACATGCATGATTGATTTTTTGCCCAAAGGCGATTGAAACTACAGGTGTTTATACCATTTTATTCATCTACATTATCGGCCAGGTAAACAAAAGCAAAACAAAAAAGAAATAAATCACAATTCCGGGCATTATAGGTTTTCAACTCTTTATTATTTTTTTTTAAATTTACTCTTTTAATAACTTATTCACAAATCAAACTAATTCATCTGTAAATTCCTGTATAATTGTTCATATTGCTTATGTTACGGAAGAATGGTGGCATAATTTTATTTCATGTCATAAAATAAATTATTAGATTTTTATTTGAGGGTTGTATGTACCCTTTTAGCTGGGTGCTTGTAAAACGTCTAGCCTTTTCAATTAAGATATCTTATATCTAAATGTAATGTTTTTTTTAAATAGTGTCATATGAAAATTTTGAGTATTTAATTTAAGATTTAATAAGAAAAGAAATCTACATGTAGATATTTTTTCTCATGAGTAGTTTTATATACTTTAGAAATAAAAATCCATCCTGTCTTTCTTATATAACAACTTTATTTTCAAAAATTTGTGAAAATATACAGTTTCTAAAATTATAAATTAACTGTAATAAATGTAATCTCCAGTTATTAAAAGATTATAAGAAATCCTTGCGTATTAAAGAGTTAAAACTCCTCTCTGCTGCAAGTAAACAAAACAATAGGGAGCCTGCAAATTCATAATACACAAGGGGGCGGAGCTATCATGTCACCAAGTACCTTTGTCACACATGAGTGAACAAAGCAGTCCCAGAAAGCAGTCCCAGGGGCAGCTGGGACTGCTGGGACTGCTTTTCATTGCAGTCCCAGAGCAGTCCCATAGCGGTCCCGGAGCAGTCCCACAGTGGTCCCAGAGCAGTCCCAGGGACTGCTTTCTGGGACTGCTTTGGTGTCAGGTTGGGTCTGGTCGGTACTGTATCTAAAAATCTTTTGATGACCAATTTTCCAACTACTCAAGGAATGGAACGACCTGAACATTTGATAGCACAACTTTTATCACATGTTTGCCCATATGATCTAGATATGATTAACCTCAAGGAAAATCATTTAAAGGGTTACATTCATTGTCATAAACATATTATTAAGAATAATCATCAATTACGCTAAGACTAATTGAATTATAGATGTTGGATACAAATGTTACAGGGTGGTAATGATTAATTCATGATCTCTCTCTGCATCATCAAAAGACTTTAATGAAATAAATATCTTTTTTAAAAGTTTAAATTAACTTCACTCAGGGGCTTAAACACTTTCTTGGACTTTTTTTTCACAGGGACCATGATACAAAGACAATGTTTGTATAGACACTTATGTTTATGAAACCATACCAAAACATTTCAGCAGTTTTAAACCTATCGTCATTTTCAATTACCATTGTGTATCATACAATCATTGAAGTATGTTTCAAGAGTTTTCATATTATATGTTATCAATCTCGAATATTATGATGCTTCAAATATATTGACATTGTTTTCTTATTTGTAATTAAATATGCAAGTGAAAAAAATGAATATGAAAAGTATTTTAATCGGTAAAAAAATGTTAACAGGCTTTAAGACATGGACTTCGGAAGTTTCACAGATGGTACCAGATTCCGTTCCTGTGATTAGGCATTCCCTGTTACCGAAGACCATACCGGCCTGGGGACCACTTTGTTGATCAAGTTAGTACTTTATTCATTAAAAAGTTGCGTGCAATTTTCAAGAAAGATTATCATAAAAACGAGGACATTTTAAAAGCTCTGAATGTCTGAATTAATGAAAACAACTAACCTTTCATATACTGACATGAATATATATATATATATTTAATCAATTTAAATACATGTAAATAATAGTTTTGTGTGAATTGATAAAATTTATGCTATTTTGATGAATTTTAATATTTCCTCCAAAGAAATGGAAAACATTGTGGACTCGTGTCCACATAACAAGACAGAGGTACTGGAATCCTCCATCAGGTTGGGTTGTGGTCAGGATCAGTATGGAAATGATCAGTACATCTGTGTCCCTAACATTGACAAAGCAGGACTTGTAGAATTCTGTTACAGTGGGATCATGGGGATAATAGAACAAGGTGATTAATCTGGTATTCAAAGTAATACATAAAAGCATTTTAAGTACGTTTTTGTTAAGGACATAAATCATCTTTTGTTTTATACGTATATTGTAATTATAAATACATGTATCATAGAATGTAAATTACATTGCAAGTTAAAACATTGTCAATAGAACAAAATGTATCAAAAAACTATCAATTCTTTAAATGTATTTATTTTTTTCTTGAAAATTGCACTTCCTTACAAAAATATCATATTCAACTTTATGTTATAGTTTACCATTGATGACAATTGTAATACTAAATCAGTTTTCATCATAGTACATTTAAGTGTTTACTTCAAAATGCAGATATATGTAGAAGATTCTAACATATATATTTAATTTTTACAAGTAATTTGGTGATGTCAACTATTACCTGTTCTTTTTGAATATCAACATATTTTGTTAATACAAAAAATAACATCTTTGCTAAGTAATAAACAGTATACAGCCTTTAAATCTTCAAAAAAAAAATGGAAACTTAAAATTAATAATTGGTATATCAAAGTAACAACCAACTTTACTTCAATCACATGTAACTATAGTTATTTTTTGTAATGACAGTCTTAAAAAATGCTTATGTAAAGATCTGCGGGTTTTTTTGAATATTTATGATGATTTCATGATTATAGAATTATTGATAAAAACTTGAGCCTGTTTTACAAAAGAACTTACGACTAAGACAATTAACTATAATTAATTGTAAACATTTGGGAAAAAAATGATAAATAATAAAATTACTATCCTGAAAATTTCTTTCTTAGTTATAAAAAGTTTGAAACCAATTTCAAATAAATGCAAAAAAGGAATTATAAAGAGTATAAATGTTGGTCTTACGTACACGTACGATCTTTTGTAAATCGTCGAACCCCTGCATGACCTATAATCCAACTTTACATAAAAGGAAAACTGGTAATGCTTTATTATCAAACCGTTTGAAATTTTAACAGAGATAAAAAAAAATCATTCATAATACATGATGATGCAAAGTAAATTTAGAAACAGCTGATTAAAATGCCGATTGATAAATGAATTGCAGTTCCTCCTGCATTATCCCGACTTGTATTTTGATTCACTTTACAAATGTACGCTTCCATTTATTATATAATTAAGGTTACTGTTTGGAAACCGACGGAGAAAAACTTGTTCAATTCAACTGCAGTAGATTCTCATCAGGCTGTCCGGGGAAATATTATCGAAGCAATAAGATATTCAATTGTAAGTTCAAGGTTCTTTAAAAATCATGTCATAAGCTTTAAGTCACCATTACAAACCAAGTTTTACCTGGAATTTTTACAAATTTTGGTGAATTTATTGAATCATATAAATTTCTTCATTTATTAATTTAGATCCTGCTTGTCAAGGCATCAATACTGAACAAAATTGTTATTTTGCTGAATCCTCATGTCCAAATATGTAAGTCATCTTTTTTTTCATCTTCATAAAATTATACAAGATTAACAAAAGAAAATAAAAAAAAATATGTAATTTCCTTTCCCTAAAGTAAACTGATATGAATTCATGTATATTCAATGACAGACAGTTTGCATGTAAAAAATGTTATTTGATTCATATGCATGTTTATCTAGTTGCTGTCCAGACCATTTTAATTTTCAAAGATTATACGTTAAATTGTATTCGTCGTCATTTTGAATTACCAAAGACAAAGCGTCGTTATGTTTTTTTTTTTATCCAACGGTGTCCACTGTTTGTTTGTCCTGTTTCTCATAACTGTAAATATAATAAACCACATACATATATAATGAATGTCGACTTAGTTTTCGATCAGAGTTGAAAGCTATTTTCAGATTTTGCTGATTTTGTCATGATGAACCAATGTCACTTTAAGGCAATATTAAAGCAACTGAAAGGCTAAGAAAATATTTCTTGAATATATAAGGTTAAAAAGAATATTTGAAATCTCAGAATAGTTGAATAAAGTTACAGCTATATCAAGTAAGTACGGGGAAATTATTTTTTTTAATAATATACACAATGTACATGAAAATACATTATATTATTATAAATAATGTATATCATAAAAATTACTTTGAATAACTGTACATTTATGTATACTAATTTAAAACCAGCAGAAATTTCATTAGACAATATTTGCTATTGATAGTTAAGTTCAATTTCAATCGATATTGTAGAAATTTATAAATACGGGCACACGGATAAATTGGCAAAAACATTGTGGTCAGGCGCGGATCCAGGATTTGGAGTTAGGGGGGGGGCGCCAAAATTAGGCAAGGGTTCTGGGGGCCGCCTTGAGGCCCCCAGTGGGTGCAGGGCAAAGCCCTGGTGGGGGCCCAGGGGGCGAAGCCCCCGGAAGTTCCTGGATTCTAGAGATTTTGAAGGGTGAAAATGAGGTCTACCAAGTAGACATATTTGATTTACGCTAACTTTGACAATTTTAGGGAAGGCGCGCGCCGGGTGCGCCCCCCCTTAAATCCGCCACTGGTGGTGAATGAGATGCAAATGATATGTTACAGTAACAAATGCTAAGGAAGATAGGGTTAAAAAAGAAATTCGAAGCTTCATCCTTATGTCATTCACTTTAATCCTTGAATTGTAAATAATTATTTAGTTTTACATTATTTTGTGAATGTTATTTGTATGCATTGAAAGACTTGGACTTTAGTAGTTGACTCGAACACGTACATTACGTAGAGGTAGAGATTTCATACTTATGTACGTCATCTCATACAATTACGTATTACATGTTTTACGTCACCAATTTAAGTTATGACAATTTTTCTACACGTTTTTATAACTTGTAGAATGACATCTACACGTAGGGGAATATGTAGCCAGAGCCTTAAAATAAATATAAGCCAATTGATGAGTGAGAATTAGATTATTTTACATTATGTAGGATGTTAAGTTTCTTGAGCACTTTATTTATTTGTTTTATTTTATTTATTTTAGTTTATTAAATAAAATAATAATAAAAAAAAAACTTCTACTAAATACTTTATATAAAGACAACAATGTTTATCCTAGTGATTCGTGAAAATGTACATGTAGTATTGACTTTCACTTGATATAAAAATCTTTTATAAAGCCCATGCACTCTTTGTTTCTGGACAAATTTTAGCCTTCTCCATTCCCCACACTAGCATTATCTCTAAAGTGAACATCTTACGTGTAACTCCCCGATCCACGTGCCTCATATCTAATACTGTCAGTTAAGAAAAGCATTTGGGTTTTCATATCCTTTTTACCTCAGCTTGGCATCACCAAACTTCTTTTTTTTATAACAGCTCATTGAGCACTGTTACCAGCAACACAACATTTGATTTGCAAATAACAACACCCGCTCCTCAATATGAACCATCGTATTTAGCAGAGATTGCAGGCGGTCTGATTGCTGGTGTATTTGTACTTGTTGTTATTCTGACCATAGCTGTTGTCTTTTGGAGAAAAAGAAAGGTTCAGAAAAATGAGGAACATAAAGGCAAACCATGCATGGTCTTCAGACGGAAACATATTGAATATGATGAGGATTATTGGCAGGGTTTGTGTTTCTAATTTTAGAAGATATATCTCCGAATTTTAAAGGCATTTTTTAACTTAATACATCAATTAATACATCAATTCCATTCTTTTTGAAGTTGAAAATGAGAAGATGTTGCCAGGAGAGACGACAGAAACTCAAGGTAATCTAGTTTGTGAAAATATATCTGATATTAGTCCTTAAATCTAAATCGATTTACATCGAGGTGTACATTTCATGAGATGTTGAATTTCTCTTTATTTCAAAGATATAGTTAATACAACTGAGACGATTTATCAAAATACACAAGAAAAAAATGAAAACAAGACACAAGAGCAAAGTAACAAAAATGTGCAGGATCAAATTGACAACAATTCACAAGAGCAAATTAGCAAAACTACGCAGGAGGAAATTGATAACAACATGCAAGAGCAATTTAACACCAATACCACAGAGCACAGTGAAAACTACAGGGAAATGGACTTCACTGGTGACTCCTCTACTGAGTGGCTACTGTCTATTAATGATTCTGAGTATGAAGGTACCACAGAAATTAATTTTCAAAAACTCATTACATCACATGCTTTGCAAGTATATCTTTACAGATAGATATCAAATTGGAATGCAATGAATGGATAACTTTTTTTCTCGTTTTTGCGTGTAACTATTTTTATTTTTAATATAAAATCATTAAATTTTGAAAATTAAATATGCGTTTATAAAGGATAATTTTAGATGTGCGGGAACGAAAAAAAAATGGTATTCTTTTGATTTGTTTTGCTTTTCCAAAATATACTTCCGGTATTATTTAGTCCCTTATCCTCACCTTTCTCTATGATAAAGAAAAATTAAAAGAAACATCATCAACAAAATTTATGATTTAACCATCCATTCAAGTCATTTGTATTAATGTATGTAATACATGTTTAATATGATATGTAAAGTGAGCCACTTATTACTTAATTCTGTAACAAATAGAACGGATCCAGACACTTGGTCATACATGTATATTCATTTTGCCGTGTAATCTGATACCCATAGACCACACGCTGCAAGTTTCTGATCATCGTTCAAGCAATAATTGATCCTCCAATGCCTAATCATTCCACCCTGTCTTACTCTTTATCATAAATTGTGGTTATTTTTTTTCCTTTTTAGATGGAACACTGTTTAATAATCATTGGATAGTCACTCATTCTTCCAGTCCCTTTTGCTATCATATTCCTTATTTCAAACGTATCAATCACCAGTCGGAGACACTCATCTGATTAATGGCAACTTAATTAGAAGCTCGCTTCTGGGTTTTAAACATAAAAGATAGAGATGACAAGTAATCAGTGATCTATACAAAATAAAATAAAATGCACCCTTAGTTTAGATGTAAGTAAAATGTAAATCCATATGTAATAAAATTCAGCTTGTTATCATTTCCGAAATCGAGTTTAGATATATGCATAATCTGTAGGTACGGGGGCCGATTGGTCCCAGATAGAAATAAAATATTTAATCTGGCGGCCGCCAAATAGTTTTCTGTCTGACAGGTCATGATATTAGCTTATTAACTTTATTTTATTTCTTCCTTAAACCCTACGCGCACCTCTCATCCTCTGAAAAATTTCTGGATTTCTGGACAGAAGTGTTACATTTACTTAATATATTTTTGATCATAGCATGCCCAGTTGTAAGACTTAACCCCCACTCTCACCATACAAAAAGTGGGTGATCAGTTTTTTTAATTGGCTTGTTTAAAAATGATTTGAGGGATGGATTTTATTTTGCAATTTAATCTTAAGAGTACAACATGTACAATTAGGCTATTTAAATGTCTTATTGACATATTTTAGTGATTTCAGTATGACGTATTTTTTTCTTTCGTAGATCCCTTCGTGGGAAAATACAGCGCTTGGAAAACAAAAATATCAGGTGAACAACTATTATCTACATCTACTTATTTTAAATATAAACGAGTTCTGTGATATAATTTTAATTAATTTAACAGTAAGCAAAGACTTTATTTCATATCTAGAATGAATTTATTATTTTATGGTATTATTTTCTTTAAATAGTTTGCATTGCAATCACAGTATCAATAGATGAAAATTGTTCATACTAAAACATATTTACTCGCTCTAAGTGGGTTTTTAATCCAGGAGGGGTGCAAGTCATTTTTAATATATTCAGTAAAAATATCTAAAATACCTGGAATGCCCAAGCATCTATCTTGTTCCCGCCCCAACATTTGCATATGGTACGTTACAGGCAGAAAATTGATGGAAAAACAGCATCATCTACGCAGTTATCACAAGTTTTTATAAAACATAGCTCAAATGTCTATCTCAGATAAAGTGAATTGTTCCTAACTGTGCAACACAATACAGTAGAATTCCGTATTTTTACCCTGCTTCCTCTGAAAGTGGGGGATATTAATTTTAATCTGTCTGCCCGATGTCCGTCTAGTTGTCCATCCGCCCATCTGAATTTCTGTCTGTCTGTAACACTTTCGTTTCCGCGCGATACATCAAGAACATTTTGCATTTCGCAATGAAATACTGAGTACTCTATTGCCAAGAAAAGAAGTATATAGTTCTGAAGTGAAAAGGTTAAATGTCACATAATATATCAATATTGAATAAATTCTGTCCGTTTCTTTTCCGCTCAAAATCTCCACAACCTTATGAGCATTTACGATGAAACCTAACATAAAAACTCCCTGTGGCGTAAGAAGACCCTTTTTGAGATTAAAAGGTCAAAGTTCCAGGTCGTAAATCTATACATTCTGTCTGTGTATAACATTCTCCTTTCCGGACGATATCTCAAGAAACTTTTGAGCTTTAGCAATGAGATTGTGTATCTGTCCATATCGCCTCTCAAAGTAACCCACCCCATTTAAAAAAAATATTACTTTAATTAAAAGTAGTTTGGTATTTTTTTTAGTACAGGGGCATGAGGAGAGCTATGACGTACAATTCAGGTTGCCCGCGGACTTTATTTTCTTATAATTCCAATCTTCATTTTATTTATTGATTACCTGTGTTTTGATTGGACGAGAACACGCTTTAGAAAAAGTTAACACATCGATGTTTTTTTTAATCCGAACTACTTTCTTGATGAAGCTTCTACGCTATCGTATAAACAATGAAAGCAGCTATTTATCGTCCTTTTAGTTAAATATTGAATACAAGAAACTTCGAATTTAATCAAATAAAATAAAACTTGCTACAAACAGGACTGACAGGCTGAAATATTATGTTTATGTAACTGTTTGATCACGAGTGTGAATTTAAAAAAAAATCGCTGATCATGATGTCATTTTCTCGACGTTCCATATCAGCTCAGTTGGTATCTTTGTGATAGGGAAAAGAAACGTACATCAGACTCTTGCCTTATTAGCATCATATTCTTATATTTACATCCTACAGCTCCCATATTCTCCCTAAATCTTTGAACGAACCAGAGCAAATCGAGGACCTCGTCGGACATGGCCATGGTCAACATGGCTGTTGTCAAGTATGAATTATTCTTGAGAATACGCGTATTTATGATATTTGTTGACTAAAACAACATCCAATGACTTTTTATAACTTTATTTATTGATTGTTTTGACAATTTAAGTTGGATTTTATCGATATTGATCTTGTATTCGTTTCTTTGCTACATGAAGTATTCCTACGCCGTACAAAATAAAGGAATGTATGACGGCCTCAAAGAGAAATATTCTTAATAATTTTAAAAAATCCGTAATTGGAATTATAAGAATTAAACGTTCTTTTTTCAAAATTTATCGATGTTTAAACTCTGCCTTTTTACTCACAAACTAAACATAACAGTGCTTCGCACTTTTATTCAGTTTGTGAGTAAAAAGGAAGAGTTTACGCATAAATTCTGAAAAAAAGAAGGTTTAATCCTATAATACATTTCTTGTCAAGTAAGGCTCAATTAGACAACAACAGGTATGCTTATGAAAATTTCCTAAGATGTGTCATACGACGCATATTAGGATACTTCCTAATATATATCATACGAATATCTTAGGATACGTCATATAGGGTCTTATGGTGTAAGACGAAAGCATCTAAGGCGTATCCTAAGTTATGATGCCCTGAATTCCATCTTATGCATTTTGCTTTTTTTTCTTTTTTGTAATGTTAGCAGTACAGAAAGTTCCAATATATTTATGAGCAGATGTAGAGGAAGGCATCTCTGGAAATAAGTTTCCCCCTGTGTTCTTAAAAGCAGACAGTTAATACCCCCATGCCGCACACATATACACACAAAAAGCAAAACCCTGGAAATAAAACAGAAAGTCATATATGGATACAGGTTTTCTACAATATTTTTTTTTAAATCATATTTTCAGACACAAATTATTCTGACAGTGTTTTACATAATCTTTTACTTGTTTCTTGAAAGCATTAAGAGTTGGTGACATTTTTATGTGCACAGGAAAAGCATTCCATAATATGGCACCACAGTACTGGAATGAATCACTACTGAATTAAATATCCCCTTAGATTCCAAAAAATCCCCTGTTGTCCCCCTGTCAGTCCCTGACATTTTCCTGTTTCACTCTGACTTTCTACTATGATCCCCTGTCGTTGTCCCTGCTCTTCCTGTCCAGTCCCTGTCGTTCCCTGTCGTTTCCCTGCCTTCCCTGTCTACTCCCTGTCGTCCCCTGACATTCTCTGATCTCCCTGTCCAGTCCCTGTCGTCCCCTGTCGTTGTCCCTGCTCTCCCTGTCTACTCCTTGTCGTCCCCTGACATTTATTTTGGCCAAGAAAAGGTGTTTAAAATATATTTTTGTTGCATTTAAGAGTAAAAAATGATATAGTCTTGAAAACTTTAGGTATTTTATTTTTAACACAGACTTTGTAAAAAGTTTGTGAATTTTTAAATGCCTTAACTGAATCTCTATTATTCAGTTTTCACAACTTGTATCAATGTGATTTCTAGCTCTACTGGTCAGAGACCAGAAGAGCTTATGCGATGGTAATGCGTCCGTCGTCTATCTGTCTGTCCGTCTGTAAACAATTTTTTCAAAAATGCTACTCCTCCTACAGTTTTAGCCTGATTTCAATAATAATTGGCACACAAGTAGACTACACTAAGATACATAATTCTGTGTATCAGTTTTTGATTTCGATGAACGGTGTTGCCATGGTTACTAAAAATAGAAATTTCTTGAAATTCTTTCAAAATGCTACTCCTTCTACAGTTTTGGTCTGATTTCAATATAACTTGGCACACAAGTCGATTACACTAAGATACATAATTCTGTGTATCGGTTTTTGATTTCAATGAATGTTGCCGTTGTTACTAAAAATAGAAATTTCTATGAAATTCTTTCAAAATGCTACTCCTCCTACAGTTTTGGTCTGATTTCAATATAACTTGGCACACAAGTAATTTACACTTAGATACATAAATCTGTGTATCGGTTTTTGATTTCGATGAAAGGTGTTGCTGTGGTTACTAAATATAGAAATTTCTGTGAAATTCTTAAAAAATGCTACACCTCCTACATTTTTGGTCTTATTTCAATATAACTTGGCACACAAGTAGACTACACTAAGATACATAATTCTGTATATCAGTTTTTCACTTCAATGAATGGTGTTGCCATGGTTACTAAAAATAGAAATTTCTGTTAAATACTCTCAAAATGCTACTCCAAATACAGTTTTAGTCTGATTATAATATAATGTGGTATGCAAGTAGACTATACTTAGAACATAGAGACTTAATCAAGGATCATTATTCTATTTATTGCTGTTGAAAAGTTTCAATTTCAAACTGCTTCAGTACTTTTCTCTTACTTTGCTATACGTACAAACCAGTAGAGCCTCAGTCTCGACAGAGGCTTCTGGTTTTAGTTTGGTAGCATTTCGGGGGTAGAATTGCATCGATTCTAAAGAAGAAATAGATTAAAAAATTATTGCATCTTGTGATGCTAGACGGCATTGAACTTTTTCATTTTATCTTCTTTGAAACGTCTTTGAGCGTAATAACTGTCTTTGTAAAAGAACTAGATGTAAACATTTAGGAATACATTGTCAAATCTATATATGGGATTTTTTTTCAAAGAATTTAAATAAATAAAAAATGATTGAAAGGAATGATATGTAAATACATTAATAAAATAAGTGTCTAAGAAATAAATTAAAATCATTAAATAAACTATTAATCTATTTTATTCATTTATTTTCTTATGGGAAAAAATCTACAAATAGACTGAATTAAGATTGAATGGATAAATAAAATAGATAAATAAATAAATAATGAGAATTATATAAATTTATTCATTTATTTGTTGCTATTTTTTTTAATTTATCACTCATTTATATCCCCAAATTTGATTTATTAACTTTATTCTATTCATTTGCTGAAATATGCTACAAAGTATTTTATCAGCATGTTAAAACGACTTTTTATTTCAGTCTTTAAGTCCATGATGGATATCAACATAATCGTCTCATTATGTACAATATTAATCTGTCAATTAGATTTTTGATACATTGATTTTATTTAAAAATTCGGTTTTCAAAACCCTAAAACGGTTCTGAAAGAACATCAAAGTCATTGATGTTTACCAGTAATTAACTCGGGGTACACAGTCATGACACTTATTTTTTTTCACTAACCGCTATACCTTGTTTATGTTGTGTTTAGAGCGACCGTGTACAGTTCGCAGCTGTTTGAAATAACATTTCCTCTTTGTAAGAGAACTTAGTTTTTTTAATCAAAACAAAATAAAAGTACCAAAGAATCTATTGACGGGTAAAGATTGTGCATAATAAGTCGATTATTTTGATATCCAACATGGAATTAAAATAATAAAAAGCAGTTTTAATATGCTTCTAAAATACTTTGACACATATTTTATAGTAAATAGTTTAACATACACTTCTGTAACATATAAGCCAAACAAATCGCATTTTCGGGTATTTGATTATTCATTTATTTGTATCGTCAGTTAAAAAATATATAATAAGTAAATAAATGCAGTCAGTAAGTTTTTTTTTTAATTATGATTAATATATTATTTATAACTTTAAGAATCACTTATGTTCATTATTTCGAAATGCTCCAGTACCCCCTGTCGTCTCTCTCTTTTTCTTTTCTTTTTTTTTTTCATTTTTTTTTACAACTGGTACAAAGTCAAACAATTATTTAATGAATAAAACAAATTACAGCGAAATAAATAAAAATAAATAAATGAATAATGTAATAATATGTAATAGAATATCAATCTATTAATTGACTTTTGAAATTGAAAATACAAAAAAAAAATAATCAATCATTTATATCTGCAAAAAATTGTGTTTCTTTAGTTTTATTTGACATAAACAGTTGCATCCTTAGATATGCTACAAAGTATTTTATTAGCATATTAAAACGACTTTTTAGTTCTTTAAGTCTATGATGGATATCAAATTAATCGTCTCATTATGTACAATATTAATCTGTCAATTAGATTTTTGATACATTGGTTTGATTTAAAAATTCGGATTTAAAAACCCTAAAACGGTTCTGAAAGAACATCAAAGCCTTTGATGTTTACCAGTAATTAACTCGGGGTACACAATCATGACACCTACTGTCTTTTTCACTGACCGCTATACCTTGTTTATGTTGTGTTCAGAGCGACCGTGTACAGTTAGCAGCTTTTTGAAATAACATTTCCTCTGTGTATGAGAACTTTTATTTTCAATCAAAACAAAATAAAAGTATCAAAGAATCTATTGACGGGTAAAGATTGTGCATAATGAGACGATTATTTTGATATCCAACATGGAATTAAAATAATGAAAAGCAGTTTTAATATGCTTCAAAAATACTTTGACACAGATTTTATTGTAAATTGTTTTACATAACATATAAGCCGAACAAATCGCATTTTCGGGTATTTGATTATTTAATTAATTTGTATCGCCTTTTTTTTTTTTTTTTTTTTTTACAAATGGCACATAGTCAAACAATTTTTTAATAAATAGAACAGATTAAAGCAAAATAAATAAAAAAAATTAATAAAATATCAATCTTTTAATTTACTTTTGAAATTGAAAATACAAAAAAATTAGTCAATCATTTTTATCTGCAAGAAATTGTTTTTCTTTAGATTTATTTTAGATAATCAGTGACATCCTTAGATATGCTACAAAGTATTTTATTAGCATATTAAAACGACTTTTTATTATTTTAATACCATGATGGACATCAAAATAATCGTCTCATTATTCACAATCTTTACTCGTCAATAACTTCCTGGATACTTTTATTTTGTTTTGATTGAAGAAAAATCAGTTCTCATACAGACGGAAAATGTTATTTCAAACAGCTGTAAACTACATACAGTCGCTCTGAACACAACATAAACAAGGTATAGCGGTCAGTGAAAAAGACAATAGCTGTCATGACTGCGTACCCTAAGTTAATTACTGGTAAACATCAATGGCTCTTATGTTCTTTCAAATCCGTGATAGGGTTTTGAAAACCAATTGTTTCAATCAAAACAAAGAATCAAAATTGTATTGACGGATTAATATTGTGCAAAATGAGACGATTATTTTGATATCCATCATGGACTTAAAGTAATAAAAAGTCGTTTTAATATTCTAATAAAATACTTTGTAGCATATGTCAGCAAATAAATAAAATAAAAACTAATAAATTAAATTTTAGGGATATAAATGAGTGATAAATTAAAAAATAAATAAAAAAATTATATAATTCTCATTATTTATTTATTTATTTTGCTATCTATTTATTCATTCAGTTTTAGTTAAGGCATTTAAAAATGTGTTAACTTTTTACTAAGTCTATATTTAAATGAATAAATAAATGAATAAAGTTTTAAAGACTCTACCATTTTCCACTCTGAAATGCAACAAAAATATATTTTAAACCTTATCTTGGCCAAAATAAATGTCAGTAGACATGGAGAGCAGGGACAACGACAGGGGACGACAGGGACTGGACAGGGAGATCAGAGAATGTCAGGGGACGACAGGGAGTAGACAGGGAAGGCAGGAAAAACGACAGGGGACTACAGGGACTGGACAGGGAGAGCAGGGACAACGACAGGGGATCATAGGAGAAAGTCAGGGAGAGACAGGAAAATGTCAGGGACTGATAGGGGCACAACAGGGGATTTTTTAGAATCTAAGGGGATATTTAATTCAGTAGTGAATGTTCAAAAAGCTTACATTTATTAATTGGCACACACAGATCAACATTGGATTCAGATCGAAGAGTATATTGGTTATTAATTTGAAATTGAAACATTTATGCAAATAAGAAGAACAATAATTAAAGACAGATTTATATAACAAAACATATTTATTTACAGTAAGCTGTTCATAATCAGAAAGCCAATAAAGTTTATCAAAAAGAGGTCATGAGGGTGCATCAGGAGGAGCATCTGAAAAACACCTTGCAGCACGTTTTTGAAGTTTATGAACTCTGTCAAGATTTCATCTTTCCCCAAATTGTTAGCTAGTAATCAATGGTAGGCATGATGTATGCATTATAAAACTATTTACGTGTTTAAAGAGGCAGATATTTTTTTAATTCTACGGAGTGCCGAAAGTTTACGTGACAGAGTTTTACACACATGGTCGATTTATACATTGAAGTGTAAAGAACTATCTAAATATACCCCAAGAATTTTTCCATATGATACATTGTCAAATATTTGGTTCGAAACGTATTAAGGAAAATCATGGTTTAAGAATTTTTATCTCTTCTAATGTGTACCTATTAACATACATTTAGTTTTTAGGTATTAAGTATAATTTGATTTTGAGTGCACCATTTTTCTATACAAGCAATATCCATTGATAATGAATTTAATGTAGAATGGGAATCCTTGCCGGAAGCATGTAAAGTAGCATCATCAGCAAACAAATCTATGTTTGAATTTTTGATATAAAATGGAAGATCATTGATGTACAATAAAAACAGAGGAGGACCAAATATAGACCCCTTTGGAACTCCCGCTGTGACTTGCAGATAAGATCATTCTTTGTTAGACAGATGGACACCCATCTGTCACTTAAATATAATCGAAACGAATTCAAAGTTATTCCATCAAAACTATAACATTGTAGCTTTTTAAGAAGAATTTCATGATTCACTAAGTCAAATGCCTTACTGAAGTCGAGAAAGAAAGTACCAACAAGTTTGCCTTGGTCCATTTCATATATCCATTTATCTGTAATTTTTGTAAGGGCTGTTTGACATGAATGCAATTCTCTGAAACCTGATTGAGATTCTGTTAAAAGATTGAAGTCTGAAAAAAGAAATCGTAAATATTTTGACACATGTTTTTTTCTATAATTTTTGATAATGTGAGTAAAATAGAAATGGGTCTGTAGTTATTTGGATCTAGCTTGTTTCCTTTTTTATAAATAGGTGTAACTTTGGCAAGTTTAAAACTTTTCGGGAAAATACCTGAAGTAATACTACTATTTATTATAAGGGTTACAAGTTTATGTACATGTATACTGACGGAATTTAAAAACGCAACACCTATTTTTTAATTATAATTATTTTCCAAAAAATATTGAAAACTTTTATTGCAATCTTCGTTCACCATATATAGTGCTGAGTTTTAAATTCCACTACCCAACTTACCTGTGCTAGTTGTTTGCACGATGTGAGTAGTATTGCACGAGATAATCGGGGCTTTTTAAAAACATATGGAAAAGGAAAAAAAGGGTTTTCTCGTGATCAATCAACTTTGTCGATGAAAGTATAGTCACAACTAACAGAAGAAGTCGAAATAAAGACTATGCCGCGGTTAAATAATGAAATGCGAAATCGAGCACTCGGTTTACTGCAAGCAGGCGTCAGTCAGCGGGACGTAGCAAGGCGTTTTAACGTTCATCCCTGTACAATTAGCCGGTTACTGCATCGGTTTCATCAGACAGGATCAATAAATGATCGTCCAAGATCAAAAAAAAAAAAAAATGGAAAAATGGGGGGTGGGTGTCCATACCATAAGTGCATATGCACGGACCTCCCTTCACAATAAACAACGTGATTTTGACAGTAAATAAGACATGGTTTTGTTATTGTATATTCATTTTAACTGATCAATACACATTACGATCATATTTGTAATTCAAAAAGGCTATTTTCAATGTAACGAAAGCTCAAATCGTGTGCATTCTATATACAGGTAAGCAAACAAATTTTACCTCTAGTGTTAAATGAAACAGCGTAATCGAGAGATGGTGACCTAATTCGTTTCTCTATAGATGTTCACGCTTATCCTTAATTTATTGCTTGTACCATACATGGTAGAATAGAAATAAAGCCCTTGTTGTCGTGAATGATGCAGAATAAGCTCCAAGGTCGAGAAATGTTGTTTGAAATATAAAAGCCTCGGCTAGCGCCTCGGCTTTTATCTTTCGAACAACATTTCTCGACCCCGGAGCTTATCCTGCAACATTCTTTCTTTCTTAAGTATATAGGGCGATTTCACTTTTTGAAACATTACTATCATACTAGTCAAGAAAGCTGAATTGAGTTACATGAAAAGAAAATAAAAAGAGAAAAATGAATTTAAAAAATCACCTTAATTATGGAGGTCCTTAAAACGAAAATATGCATCATATTTATTGACAGTGTTTCTCAATATATGTTCACTACACGTTTTATAGATAAGTTCTCAGAACTGACTGACGACGAGGTGTACGTGTTATTCTGTTTTCTGTGTTCTGACTCCGGTCCTCCTGACTTCACTGACACAGAGTGGCTGGACATGCTTAATGGGATACGACAGTCCTATAAACAGAATCCTGTAACACGTGAGGAAGCACAACAGACTCTGGACAGACTGAAGTCACGTGATTACGTCTGGGAAGATGATGACAAGATAATGAAGGATACAAAGGATGAGACAATGTATAGAATAGCATCAATAAGGAGTTATATACCATTCTTTTACAGTAGTTATGACACAGCCAGTGTGTACCTGAGATCATGGAGATACAATAGAAAACCTGGAGAGAAGTGTGTCAGTAGTCTTGGCTGTGATCGCTTACTGATACGCCGTCTACAGATGAACATACTGACTCACGTCACCATGGAGGACACGGAGATATATGATGAAATACACCAGATATGTAAGTCAGAGTAAAATAATTGTAAATTGTTTTATTCTTTCTTCCAGAATTTTATTTAAATAATTGGATTACATTTTAAAGAGTTAAAAAGTTTTCAATTGAAATTAAACATTTATACATTTAAATCAGTTTCTTTTGTTTATTTGTAGTTGCTTCATTGGTTACAATTTGATGCTACTAGTCGATTAACTTATTATAATAGAAGTAACTGATCGAATATGTTTGATAAATCTATAGTTTTTTTGTATCTCTACCTATGTATATAATAATAATAGTACAGTGTGAATGTTTATTATAAACGGTATATTTTTTTCTACAGTAAATATCCCAGAAAATAAAATTAAGAGTAAAGATGAACGAGAAGAATTTCTAACGGAACTAAGAAAAGAAGGGGAGGCTGTACATTACAGAGGAAGACCACATGACAGTGTAGATCACGTGACGTGGCTCTGGAGACACAGGTATGGAGCGAGACCTGACATCGTGAGATCCTGTATAGGTCTATACCCACACTGGGACCTTTACATCATCGACAACAAAACCTATAGAAAACCAAGTAAGAAAGTTTGATTTTCTAGAAAATTTAAAATAAGTTCTTTAGTTATTTCTGTGAATTTGGACCTATAAATTTATATCAACTCAGTTCATTATATTTGTTACATGTACCCAAGACCTTATATAGAAAAGTGATTTATAGGAAGTTTGCTTAGCCTGTTGTCCAATCTGTTCAGTAATCTGAATAAATATTATCTATAAATCTACCTGTATGTGTAGACATAAATCTAAAAATAAAGGGTGTCATTTTTTCTACTTTAATAAAGGAGAGGATTTGGGTTTTGAGAGATTGAAGTTCTTACATGACCATTTTTTTTATCTTTCAAACACTACGACTTACCATTCTTTAACTTTAACTAAACTGCAACGCGTGTGTTGAAAGTGTATGTGTGTGTGCATGAGAGGGTGTGTGTGTGTGTGGGGAGGGTATACATACGTCCCAATGTTTATCATCTATACATGTATGATTTCTATCGTTTGAAAAAAAAAGTATGGGGCTCAACCCCCCCCCCCCCCCCACCCCCCCTCCGCTAGCCCTCCTTGTTTCGACGCCAAGGTTATCTTTTTTTTAATTGGAGCCTTGTTTTTTTGTATTTTGTAAATCTAAAGGTCAATTAAAGCATTAGTCTGTTTCTCTCCCTCGATTTCGCTTGAAAGTAGGTCTACACTCGCACAACGTCATTTACGAATAGTAAAACCGCCACCGCGCTTCCTTTTTCCGAGATGTGATTTTTGAACTATATTGGTTTGACTTTTAGTTAGCGTTTTGAATATCCGGTAACGATTTTTCTCCAAGTCGGTCGCGTCTACAAACATACAAAAACTGATTGTTCTACAGTCTAAGGGTAAAGTAATTAAAAAGAGAAGGCTGGGAACAACTTTTGGTTGAAAGAAATAATTAGGTAATAACTTGCTACATGCATGATTTGTATCAAACTCTCGCGACTATTGTAGGCGGCCAAGTTGAAAATAATTCGGAAGAAAAGTAATGACTACGATTTTACTTAGACATTTATAAATTTTGCTAATCAAACATAATAAAATTTACCTTGAACAATAATTATTGAATAAGACGCACCCCCCTCAAACTGCTAATCCACGAATTAATGCAAAATTATAAAATTATCTTATGAATATAAGTATATGACAATAGTTGATTCACTTGCAGCATACTTACTTTCTGTTACAAAATTATCCAGTTTGTGAGAATCCGTCAATCACTTTTATTTTCATTGTCACCAATTTACAAAAATGTTGCAATATATTTTTTTTCTGGAAGAAGGAAATTAGGAGGGTACCTTGAGTGTAGAGCTCATACCACGAAAAGAAATGCGTCAACATATAATTTTTTACAGCTTAATCTTTTTCTTAAATATTATTGAGTAAAAATAATGCAAATATACGAAGTTTGAGTCCATTTTTAGCTCTACTGGTCAGAGACCAGAAGAGCTTATGCGATAGTAATGCGTCCGTCGTCCGTCCGTCTGTCTAGCTGTCTGTCTGTCCGTCTGTCTGTCTTTAAACAATTTTTCAAAATGCTACTCCTCCTACAGTTTTGGTCTGATTTTAGTATAACTTGGCATACAAGTAGACTACACTAAGATACATGATTCTGTGTATAGATTTTTGATTTCGATGAACGGTGTTGCCGTGGTTACTAAAAATAGAAATTTCTGTGAAATTCTTTCAAAATGCTACTCCTCCTACAGTTTTGGTCTGATTTCAATATAACTTGGCACACAAGTAGACTATACTAAGATACATACCGGTAATTCTGTGTATCGGTTTTTGATTTCGATGAACGGTGTTGCCGTGGTTACTAAAAATAGAAATTTCTGTGAAATTCTTTCTAAATGCTACTCCTCCTACAGTTTTGGTCTGATTTCAGTATAACTTGGCACACAAGTAGACTACACTAAGATACATAATCCTGTATATCGGTTTTTGATTTCGATGAACGGTGTTGCCGTGGTTACTAAAAATAGAAATTTCTGTGAAATTCTTTCAAAATGCTACTCCTCCTACAGTTTTGGTCTGATTTCAATTAAACTTGGCACACAAGTATCGTATGACATACATAATTCTTTGTATCGGTTTTTGATTTCGATGAAAGGTATTGCCATGGTTACTAAAAATAGAAATTTCTGTGAAATTCTTGCAAAATGCTACTTCAAATACAGTTTTAGTCTGATTATAATATAATGTGGCATGCAAGTAGACTACACTAAGAACATAGAGAGACTTAATCAAGGATCATTATTCTATTTATTGCTGTTGAAAAGTCTTAATTCCCAACTGCTTTTAAGTACTTTTCTCTTCCTTTGCTATAATTACAAACCAGTAGAGCTTCAGTCTCGACAGAGACTTCTGGTTTTTTAATGACGGAGATTGGCCTGTGAAGCATATTTTCTCATATTAAATTTTGATACGTTAGTCTACCAAAGTGCATCTATTTATAATAATTCATGCAAAAAATGATTATATATTGTTGACTAACATATTTCTACTCTCTTTAGGGTATTAAAGTCGAATATTTAGACTTTAATTCATTTATATACAACAAAATCTTGGATAGGTATATTTCAGTATTTTACATTTCGGGATATATGCTCCGATAGGTAATAGCGGAAAAGTGAACATGCTGACATATGATTTTTCTTGTGTCTATCCATTGCTGGGATTTATGTCTATCTTTTAAAAGCAGATTTATTAAGATTGAGCCCATTTAGTGCAGAGTATAGAACTACCTTAAATTTTGTGAAATTAAAATTGTTTCAATATTAATCCAAATTAAAATTATTCTCTTTAACAGGATTTTCATTTGCTTTTATTTTTCTATTGTATGTAAGTGTACATGTATTCCGCATTATTTATTGTGAAAGGTGGTGAACATGTTTCAGGTCGTATAAATTTGCTATCTGATACTGCTGACAGGAGCTATTTCTCCATAATACGTACGATTTATGTTGCGTTACAAAGGTGATATACATGAAGTCCTTCCCTCGTTTTAAAAGTTTCACCTTTATCCCTCCATGGACCTCTTGAATACAAGTAGACTTGATTGCTGTTATGCCTTAAAACAATTGTTTCCATTTTTAGTCCAAAATATTAGATCAACTTGGTGAAAATGTTTCAGGTCGTATAAATTTGCTATCTGGTACCGCTGACGGGGTGGCAGACAAGAGTTATCTCTCCATAATACGTACGAGTTATGTCGCAAAACAAAGGTTCCTTCATTGTATCGTCATTTTAAAAGTTTCACCATTATCCTTCCATGGAACTGTTGAATGCAAGAAGAGTTGATTGTTGTTATGCCTTAAAACATTTGTTTCATTTTTTTTTAGTGCAAAAGTTAGATCAACTTAATTTAATCAGGAAGCATTTTGAACTATTAAAAAAAAAGTTTCATCATAAAATTACAGCAAAAAAAAAAATACGGACTTCTGACTGAAATGACTAGAGACGATGAAAATCCAGGTACTGCACATATATAAAAGTTTGAATGGATGTAGTGATGAAACGAATATTTCTCGTCTGATCCTTATATATGTCACGGGATCTAATCCCACTGAAGGACGTGAACTCGTGTTCTTAAATTAGACCGATTAAATCGGGTCCCTTGTTGTGGAAGTTGCTGGCACGAAATGAACCCTCGCTGCTCAATGGCCCTCAGTGCCAAGGTCAAATTGAGGCTCTCCGCGGCGAAGAATGTTGTCAATGTAACAGTGTTTCAGTGAAGTATTCGCAATGAGACGTTTTAATCAACAAACAAACTCATCATTGCAGTATTTTGGACGTTTACAAGCATAATTCATCGTTAATATATAGAAATATAGATTAAGTTTTTTTTTTCTATTTTTAGGTTAGTAAGTTTTTTTTCTGGCTGCCCTCCTTCCTTTCCAAAAGTGTGTTTTTTTTTGTGTGTGTGGACCGGATGTATGTCGTCATGTGTGTCTCTATGTGTAGGGAGGAGGGGGTTGGGGTCGTAAGAGGGATGCAGAAACATGAATCTATTGATTTGAGTATTGCCTTTTTCCATTGACCAAGACAAGAATGTGCTGTCCAAGAAGTTGGTTTTTTAATTGCTTGAGAACAAAAATACAAAATTCCTTTAGAAGCTAAAAAGAAATATATGACGGTTGATGGAAAAAAATTCTGTAGACTTTTTAAGAAGGGGGGGAGCAGCTCCGTTAAAAGCCTCTTTAAATTCAATATGTTACAATTAATCCCCCCGTCTTTTCCTGCAATTTCTGTGAATCCTGCTAAACATAATTATGTATTTATGCTCCCCATGCAAGATCGCTTAATTACAATGTCTTATTGATATTTTTCCCCTTTATTTCCTCTCCATTTTTCCTACTCCTCGTCATTCTGCTATATGTAAAAAAGTAAAAAGAAAAACAAGGTAAGGGGAGTATATGTTCAAGTTCCACCTAAAAATATTTCCTTCAAAAAAGTAAAACAAAATTTTTACTAAATTGTCTGTTTACTTTTGTCATCATGCAGATGTCCGACAAACAAGAAAATAATGTGGTGTCGCTATTAAAACTGGACTCTAAAGCAGATGCTCGTATCACTGTGTCTCGCAGGCGACGAAAGCAAAACGTTATTTCAATTTATAGCTATTATTAAGGGGATGGAGGACCTTTAGCTGAAAAAATACCTGTCATTTATTTTTTTCATATTTTGTATATATCTTATTTAGTATGTCCTACATACTATAAAGCAGACATATCAATAGGTTTCTAGACTTATTTCTGAGATATTGAGTGACAAATACCATACCCACAGTTTCTGAGCAGAGTTTTTATTCTCCGTGTTTCTGGGTACATTACTAGGTCGATACTTGAAATTTTTCACCATAGATAGAAAATATAACAGAGGAAATGTGTCTTTTAAAATATTTTAGAGTATGAATAGGGTTAAAAATTCGAAAAAGCAAAATTTGTAACACCACATCTGGAGACGGAAATTTACGACTTTTTAGGACAACTTAAACCATAAAAAAATTATTTGCAAAAAATCCTATCATTTAATATTTGAAAAATTACGTCGAAGTTCAAGGTTGTCATTGTATTGATTAACTGTAAAAATATCGATTGGTGAAGCTGAGCTCAATATTGCACGGGGCAAAGTTAAACGAGTCATGATCCTGAGAAAAACGTGTCATGTTTACATTTCTTGAGTACGGGAAAACCCAACTATGACGTCACACATTCCTGAAATAAGCGAAATAAGACAAACCAACAGAACTTTTCCGTCAACAACCATGCGTTCTGAAATTTACAAAATACCCTACCATGTACATATTATGGCCTGTTTTTATGACTTTATACTACCCGTTTTTACCGGGTCTTACTGAACTAAGAGATCCACTATGACGTCAAAGACGAACTGGACGCGCAGAGTAGGGAATCGGCAGAGTGGATTATTCTATTCTGTAATATAATTTGATAATATTTGCAAGAAATTTTGAATGTTTTCAGTTATTTTTATATAAGATGGTGAACGCAAACAAACAGTCAAAAAAATTATACAAGTACTGTGGTTTTAATCTCGTTTGGTGCATATTTTATCAGAGATTATGACGTAAATCAACTGAGTCACGTGACCATACATTCTTCATCCCCTTAAGAATAAAAATCTTTTTTTGGCATACGTAATTCACGATAATTATTTAATTAATTAATGATCAATCTCCTCATCTTTTTAATTGCATTTATTCAGCGATGGTTAAGGAAGAGATAAAAAAAATGTGGTGGGGGTGGGGTGGTTCACATCCTAAAACATCTCTGTTCAATAGGACTGAATACATACAAGTGCAGTTCATGTAGTTCGATTGAATGTTAACAAGAACTACAAACTCTAACTCTTGATTCCCGCCTACATTTTGCATCCATTAAATTCAATTTTAATAGCAATTTAGCCATTAAATCTGTAAATAATACAAAGATTAGGTCTATGGTAATTGATTAATCATTTTATTTCTAGCGCTAGATAGTAAATTATAGTGTTGGCAACGAGTACCCGGTTAACCGGTTAACCGTCGAACGATGCGAGTATCGGTTAGTAAAACTGCTACCCGGTTACTCGCATGAAAAAATATTACATAGTAAATGCATATTTATAAACTGATTGTTTTCTAGTTTATAAATGTATATACTAACACTTCCCTATATCTATATACCGTTAGACTTGATCTAATACATGGTCGAAGTGGATCAAATTATTATGATTAGTTTTCACAGTTTATATAACTAATAGCTTTGATTGCTCGAGGGTATACAACTTTTAAAGGCCTGAGTTATGATTACCTCATTTGATAATTTAACTTAACGAGATGCCGCTTCAGACAAATTAAGCTTTGTTTGTAACTCTGAAAGAATAGTTGATTCAAAATCTTAATGAAAATTAACTAATAATTACGGAGTATGTAGATAATTATTATTTTCCTTGATAGCGACATTTCGAGGGCTGACAAGGAAAGCATCAGGAAAGCCAGAGTAAGACGGTGATTGACGATGTCTTCATTTGTCTTTTTTCGTGTGTCAAATTTCTAATTTTTTTTTATCTAAAATCAAAATTCGTTCACAATATGGCATGTGTGTAATGTAAATATAATGTCCATATACAGCATATTTGTGAATTACAACTACCGATAAGTAAAGTATAAGATGAATAAAAGATGTGGATACTTTTAAAAAAAGCATCCGAGTAACCGGGTACTCGATCGAAAGATGAAGCGAGTAACCGGTTACTAAAAATCGTCCGATTTGCCAACACTAGTAAATTATCATTAATTCCAGCTCTTGAAAAAAGGAGGGTAGGCGATATTTTCTGGTGAAATCGAACTTTCAAGCATTACCATATTTTGAAATAGTTTTAAATATCATGAAATGTATCTCTTTTTTCTGTCTATAAACATATGTTCCCAACCCCCGTGAAACACAAAAAGCTTTAATTGGCATAAATTTGTTAAATGACAGTCCATATTACCTGTGAAAAGGAATTTTTGTTTCACGGGGGCGGGGGGTGGGGGGGATGTTTTAAAACTATTTTCCGTTTACCGTTGATTTCTATAGTGAGAAACACAACTTTAAACAAAAGTATAGCGTTATCTCTCTTTGGTATCCCAAATAAGAAAGGTTTTATGAAAATTCATATCAATATCTATAAAAATTTCGAAAATCATTCGAATATGTTAACTTTTGAAATTTTACATAGTGGTAGGCGGGAGAACAATACTATCGTTCGTGGTTCTTTATTTATTTTATTTTATCAATTTATTTGTTTTGTGATTTATAATTTATCTATTTGTTTGTCATTTAAGGTAAAATCCTTGGCCATCCAACGAGAGTCAGATGTTTACTGTATTGTTTACTTATATCTGATAAATATCGGATTAGTTTCATAGAACAAACACAGCGAATCACAAAGGACAAAATCAGACAGAGGTATTTCCCTGATATAACTGCTGACGGCTCGGTAGATCTTCCTGATGAAATCACAGAAACACGTGACGGTTTGATAACCTTTAAATCAGACGACATCCGACATGACGTCATGTACGCCTTTGTTACGGAGTGTCTGTGGAGGACAGTGATCTGGAGTTTTTCCTGACCACGGCGTCACGTGACGTGGTATATGAATACTGCAGACTCTGGGATTATAAGAGGAGTGAGGGAGAGAGATGTCTGTATGTACCGGACTGGCCGGAGAAGATGGAGGACCTCTTCATAGACAGTCTACAGCTGGACATTATCACACACTGTACCGTGTCTGACATTGGGATTCGTGACAGGATCTGTAAACGTTGTAAGTCTCCAAGATCTGTCACTAATTATGTGGTTCACTGGTTTATGTAGTATTACCTCTGTGACACTCGAGTAAAAATGTCATATTTCAGGGCAAATCATCATTTTTAATAAGATTCTCTATATTAACTCTTTTATTGTCTTGATTTGTGTATAAAAATACATTTATTTATATGTTTTCCAGTAGCGTAATCTTTCAAAAAAGCAAAATCAAAAGTATTAAATCTTATGTTATTACATGTGAATGTTTGATACATTTAATACATTTAATGATTGGAAAATTACTTTAATTGTAACCCCTGTTAGTTAAGTGTAGTTTCATAATTATAAGAATTAAATGTGGGTCTTATACGCAATTTCTTTGTAAATCGGGCCCAGTTATCGACAGTACCCGGTAGTCCATAGACATAGAGATGAACATTTTTATGCTTAGCCTAGTTATTTTAAACAGCATGACTAATTTCGCAGATTTTTCCCTTTGTATTTCATATTGGAGTTACTGAGTTAGAGGGAAAAAGAATTTATTTTGAATGAATATGATTTTTTACGCAATTGTTAAGAGATTAGTTTTAATTGTACATTGTAACAAGCTTATTCAGAGAATCTGTGTTCCCGCTGAAGGGAAAAAGATGTGCCGACCCAGGAGAGGGATAGCTCGAGTTGGCACTTTGATACGTGCAGGGAGACAAAGGGATCCGGAGTTTTGGTAAAACATAAAATTTCAAAAATCGAAAGGCGATTGAGATATCTCCCGGAATTGAAAGTTTAACACAACGTCAAATCAAATATGGGTCTTTCATAGGCCAAAGAGAGCGGTGGTATTCATTCTTTCAGCAAGATCAAACGCTTCCCGAGATATCGCTTGGAAACGTGCAGAAAAGTGTCAAACCAGACAGTCTTTTCATTATTTTCGACCTAGACATTTGACTTCAAAATCTTCC